GAAAGTTTTCTGTGGTGGTATGAATAAGAATGCCCCCACCCAGGATAATACATTTAAATGTTTAGTCATTTAGGAGTAGCACTACTTGAGAAGGCCTTGTTGGAGTATGTGTGTCACTGGAAATAGTAAGTTTCCAAAACCCAAGTGGGACCATGTTTCAATATTCCTACTTCCTATGGAGTGGAATGTAGAACTCTCAGTTACTTCTCCAGTACCATGCCTACCTGCATGCTATCAAGCTACCATTATGTAAACAATCTATAATTAAATGCTTCCTTTTATAAAGGTTTTCACTGGCATGGTGACTGTTCATAGCAACAAAATAATGACTAAAACAAATTGTATGATAAAAACTTTGAGAAACTGGCTAAAGAAGTGATGAATATATCAAAAATGGAAAGATCTTAAATGCTCATACAGTCATAAGATTAATAAAGTAAAAATGTTTCTCCTACCAAAAGCAATCTATAGATTCAATGTAATTCCCACCAAACTTCTAACACAACACTTCATGTGTCTTGAAAGAACAATTTTCAGCTTAATATGGAAACACACACACAACAAAAAACAAAAACATCAACAACATGATTTCCAAAGTTAATCCTGAATAATAAAAGAATTGCTAGATATCACCATTGGTGACCTTAAGTTGTATTAAAGAGGTAAAGTTAATAAATAAAAGGATTGACATACAACAAACACATAGATCAATGAAATAGAAATGAAAATCCAGGCATTAATAAACACACCAAAGACATCTGACTTTTTATTAAGAAGGCAGAAATAGACACTTGAAAAATAACAGCATTTTAAACAAATGGTTCTAGTCCTATAGCTTGATAACTACATGTAGAAAAATCTAAATAGATCCATATTTCCCTGAACAAAACTCAAATACACACAGATCAAAGAAGCAACTTAAAACTGAATCTGATTTTTAAAAAATGCCTCATAGTCTTGAACTTATTGACACGAGAAAATCTTTTCTTCACAAAATACAAGTATAACAATTAATAAATGGCACCTTATGGAACTGAGAAGCTTCTACATGACAAAGGACATATTCAGACAAAGTGGCAGTCTATATAATGGGAAAAGATTTTTAACAACTCCATATATAATAGACAGCTAGTTTTTTAAAAAATCATATAAAGAACTCAAGAATCATGAAAATAAATAACACAGTTAAAATGAGATTTAGTTCCAAACAGAGAACTCTCAAAGGAGAAACTCAAAGGACTGAGAACACACATCCAACATGCTTAGTCATTAGGGAAATACAAATCAAATCCATTGCTTGTGGGAATGGAAATGTACAGACAATATGGAAAGTAGTGTGGCAGTTCCTCAGGAAGATGTTAATAAACCTACCTCAAGATCTCCCTATAACACTCTTGGACATATACCCAAATGTTACTTCTTACTACCATAGTGATACCTAAACCATGCATAGTAGTCAGGAAATTTGAAACAACCTAGATATCCCTCAACTGAATTATGGATAAAGAAAATGTGGTGCATTTACACAATGGCATATTAGTCAGCCATTAAAAATTACTCCTAACAGTAGGAGTAGGGATGTTCTAACACTTCTGCAAGCTCTTGGGACCTTTTCCTCCTACTTAGTCACCTCATCTGGCCTTGATATGAGGATATATGCCTAGTCTTTTTGCATCTTGCTTGGCAGATAATGCTGTGAGGCCAGCCTGCTCTTTTCTGAATGAAAATGAAGGAGCAGTCAAGCTGGGGGAGAGGAGAAGTGGAGAATGGGAAAGAGGAGAGAGATGGAAGGCTATTGTTGAGATGTATTGTATGAGAAAAGAATAAGTAAATAAAATAAAGTGAAATAATGACAAACTGTAGGTAACTCAATGGGACTGGAAAAAATCCAGAGTAAGGTAATCCTGACCCAGTAATATGAATATAGTATGCATATGTGAAAATTAGCCTTTAAGTCAATGACAATCAAATTATGCATATAGTGAAGTAGTATGTGGGTATAGATAGATTCCATTAGAAAAGTGAAATAGATGATTTCACTCATGGCAGGGGCTACTGGAATGGGGGAATTAAATGTGGTGGGGGAAAGAAAAGGGAAAACACTAAAAATAATAGCCTTTGGAACAAACTTCATACAGTAGAATCTTAAAATATATACGTGCCTGAAGGCAATCTAAAGGAAGTCTCCAAAGAATGGAGAGACAGAGTCTGAATTTGCCAAATGTTTCATCAAATGAAGCTCCCGTTATAAGGATTGGGGTACGTCACACTGAATTTTTCTCCACAGTGGTTCCATGGGTGATGGGAGATGTTATTCTGTAAATCTGTCTCTCTGATTGGTTGTTGAATAAAGCACAGTTAGTTAATAGAGAAGCAAGATAGGTAGGACTAGGAGTCAAGGAGAATTCCAGGAGAGAGGCAGAGTCAGTCATAATATAGGACGCGCAAAAGCAACATGTGGACCCTTCCTCCGGTAAGCAAAGACAACATGGAAATACTCAGATTAGCAATCATGGGTTAAATACTTAAGTCAGAGGTAGCCAGTAAGAAACAAAGCAAACAGCCAACATCTTATAGTTAATATAGCATCCTGTGTGTTATTTGGGGGTTCAGACGGCTCGTCAGGACCCAGTCGGCTTGCGGGAAGAGTACATGCTACACATGAGGAATCCTAATACAATCCAGTCTGTTACCAAGACTATAGGTTCTTCTGCAAAAACCGACAGCAAGGCATCATTGCTTAAGACAAATTATATATATATATATATATATATATACATATATATATATATAAATCATTGAACATGAAGACGTGAATCTGTTGCCTACAGAGTGCGTTAACAAGTGCATATTCTAATGTATTTGTTACAAGGTGGTACTTTTCATGCTATCAAAGCAGAAATGTACACACCAATCTGCCACAAACACTTTTATCTACAATGGTGGCTTCCCTTCATGCTAGTGCAATTGTAATTCAAAGTTTTGGGAGTAAGCAAACAATGTTTGATTTGATTTTAGGTCCATGCTATAAGATGGAACTCATAACTACCACTGCTTAAGAACCTGAGACTAGGTAGTCCCAAGACCAAAGGTAAAATCAAATATTACTATTGTAAAAATGGCTGGGCGGTGGTGGCACACACCTTTAATTGCAGCACTCGGGAGGCAGAGGCAGGCAGATATCCGTGAGTTTGAGGCCAGGCTGGACCGACAGCCTCCAAAAAATACAGAGAAACCCTGTCTCATAAAACAAAAAACATGGAATTAAATTAAAATTTAAAAGTTAGCAATAAAATGATGCCAATGACAATCTCCTATATTTATAGATCAGTGCCTTGCTCAGCCATCACCAAAGAACCTAACTCTTGCAGTAGATAGGAACAAATGCAAAGACCCAGAACCAAAATTTATGCAGAGAGTGACAGACCTTGGAGCAATCAGCTTTAAATGGGATGTCTCCATCAAATCCTTTCCCTCTAGGCTCAGGAAGCCCTTGAAACAGGAAGCAGAAAAGTGAAAGAGTCAGAGTTAATAAAAGACACCAAGTAAACAAAATCCTCTAAATTAAACATGATTTATGCAAGTAATATTTCATAGAGACTGAGGAGGTGTGCATGGAGCCTACATGGGTCTCATTAGATGAAGTCCTAGAGCTGAAATGAAAAGAGAGCACATGTTCCCATCCCTAACCCAGGAACAATCTCTAATAGATAACCATTGTCATGTAAGAATTTAGTTTCCTTCAAGGGAGCTTCTCTCCAAGGGAGTAGGCTACAGAATATGTCTTGCAAAAAGTAAGCTCACGGACATTTGAGGTTCCTTGCCTCATAATTTCTTGTCAAGGCATTTTGTTTGTTTTTTCTTTTATTAATGTTGTTTTTCAATTTTCATTATATATATACGTATATTTATATTTACCCTACTATATATATGTATACACACACAAGCATATATATATATGTATATATATATTTATATACATACTTAAATTTAGTGTTTTATGGGCTTCTGCAGTGTTAGAGTGAGGGGGACTCTGCATCTATAGTTGTGCCTTTTCTTGGCTCTTTTCCATCTGTTTATTTTGTGCTATTCTGATGCACAAGTTGGTTTTTTTTCAGGAATAAAGGATTTTTTATTATTTTAATTTTAAAAAGCTTGCTTCACATGTCAATCCCAGTTCCCTCTCCTTCCCCTCTTCCCACACCTTCCACCATCACTCCCAGCCTCCCACCCTATACCCACTTCCTTCCACTTAGGGGATATCCAGAGTCTGTCATTTAGCTCAGCGCATGGTCCAGTTCCTCCCCTAAGAGTCTAGGCTGAGAGAGCATCCCTCTTTGTGTTATGAACACACGAAGTCCATTTGTACGCCAGCGATAAATACTGATCTACTGCCCAGGGGCCCATAGGTTGCCCAGGCCTCCTCACTGACTCTCACACCCAGGGGGTCTGGATAGTTTCCATGCTGGCCTCCCAGCTGTCAGTCTGGGGTCCAAGAGCTCCCCCTTGTTCAGATCAGCTGTCTCTTCTGGTTTCACCAGCCCATTCTTTGTCCATTTGCTCATCACTCCTGTCTCTCTGTCACTGGGTTCTATGGGCTCGGTTCAGTGTTTATCTGAGGGTGTTTGCCTCTGCTTCCATCAGTCACTAGGACTGCGTATAAGGTAGACGTCAAGTTCATTATCAGGAATGGACATTTAAGTTGGTTATTTTTTATCTTACTATACCTTATTTTTTATTAACCCTTAGAAGTCTGTTTTCTAATGAAAGACAGAAATGTGAAGGATCTGAATGAGTGAGCAGGTGAGGCAGACCTAGAATTAGTTCAGGGATTGTTAACTGTAATCAGAATATATTGTGTAAAATAATATTTTTTCAATAAAAAGAAAAATGCATTCAGTGTGTATCTCTCTCTCATTCTCTCTCTCTCTCTCTCTCTCTCTCTCTCTGTGTGTGTGTGTGTGTGTGTGTGTAGTAAGTTCTCTTCCTTTAGAAAACCCTCAACAATACAAGTTCTTTTTATATTCTCCTAAGGAAAAAAATCTTGATGTTACTTTTTTCACAGCCTCCTTTATCTGTTTGTTTCTAAGACTATAGATGATGGGGTTTAAGAATGGTGGAAAAACTGTATAAAATACAGAAAGGATAATCTCCTGAAGTTCATCTGAAGTTCCTGGAAGTCTTAGATACACATAGGCACCAGAACTAAGAAACATAGACACCACAATAAGGTGAGGCACACACGTGGAAAAGGCCTTCCCTCGCTCTCCTTTGACAGGAACCCTCAACACAGTTGATAAAATGTGAACATATGATATGGCAATGAATGTAAAGCAGCTACCACTGACAACAATGGCAGTCAGAAGAATTAAGAGTTTGTTGTTAAAGGTGTCTGAGCAAGAAAGTCTCAGCAGAGAGGGAATATCGCAGAAGATCTGTTGGACCACATTAGAATGACAGAAGGGCAGCTGGAATGTTTTGATAGTATGCACACCTGAAATGACAAGAGAGCTAAGTAAGGAAGCCAATGTTGTTTGAACACAGACTTGGTGGTTCATGACCACAGGATAGAGGAGAGGCTTACAGATTGCCACGTAGCGGTCTTGGGCCATGACAGTGAGAAAGAAAATCTCTACACATGCACAGAAGAACACCAAAAAGACTTGTGCTGAACAGCCAAGCACAGAAATATTCCTGTGGTCAGTGAAAGAATTGAAACAGGCATTGGGAATAGTAACAGAAATGTAGCACATGTCTAAGATGGATAAATTCCTGAGGAAGAAGTACATGGGTGTGTTTAGGGTTTCATCAATTGTAGTAGCAATGATGATGGTCAGGTTCCCTAATAGGCTGCCCAGGTACACCAGTAAGAACAGTGCACCAAGTAGGAGCCGGAGCTCCCAAGACTCTGCAAAAATCTCCAGGAGGAACTCAGTCACCAGAGTGGAATTGTCCATTCTCCAAAAGTACAGGTTTATCTGGAAAAAAAGCAATGGCAGAGAATAACCTATAATAATTAATATATCACTCGAATTTTCTTAATGTTACGTATTTCTGTTTTCTGAAACTGGCCTTTATGTGTGAAAAATCATGTATTTGTTTCATTGGTTTGTATAATTCTTTTTCTTGTCATGCTTAGTTGTTAACACACATATGTAAGTCTTTTATTGGATGGCATGATGATAAACGCTTAGGGTTAGTTTTCATAATAATTACTCTCTCCTGAAGCCTAATTTCTTACTGGCAGAATCCCTGAATATACCCATTGAAAAAGTATATTCTAAAATTTATGATCAAGTGGAGAAGTGTTAAAACATAGAGGTCAAAGTCCATAAAATTAAAGTTTGCTATTAGCTTTCTAAAATACTGTAACAAGTTTTATCAATTCCTTATGCAAATGAAAAGGTATTTCCTATATATTAAGCTTTAGCCAATTAAAAAGAAGAACAAACAATGCAAGAAGACTTGAAAAAGCATCTATTAAACTGACAGAAGACAAGTAACAAAGCAAAGGCAAGTTATGAGATAGCCACAGTTACTTTTTTCTTGAAAGAATCAGATATGTATTGAGTCTTTCATTTTGGCAACCTCAAAATTCTAACAGCATAAAATGCACAAAAGTTATGAAAATATTTAGTGACATTAGAGAGCTGATTGACATGGAAATTACCATTAGCTAATTAATCCTATTTGAATAATTTATTTCATTTCAAATACTGGTAGAAAACTGTTTTGTCAAGATGCAAAAAGAGAAAAACATGTTTTCCAAATGGTATTAGTATGGCTTCTATTGTGAGCAGTGAAAATAAAATGCACACCTCAAGACTTATTATTAAAGAACATAAAACCTAACAAGTTTCTGCTTCAAGTGTAAAAGATTCTTAATGTGGATTTTATCATTAGAAGACCCACCTTGCAAAGGTCCAGAAAGTCTGGAGTGTGTGTGTGTATGATATTTTTAGTCTCCTTCTGAAGCAGTGTAAGGTAGCAATTCAAAATGACTGAGGATTAAATCAGGAAACAGCATCCATGGCTTTTTTGATTTTGGTTGCAGTATGCTACAGAAAAGGAAGTTTGACCGCCTACCAAGAGCACTAAGATCCATGATGGCCATCTCAGGACAATTATAAATTGCAAAAGTGTTGGATGTCATCCGTGAGAATCTTTAAACTCTTACCATGTATATAGTTTAAATGTAAAACCAACCAATGTTGGATATTATATGACAATAGAGTAAAAATTAAAGAAACAAAATAGTATTGCATGAGGTCTTTGGCAAGGTTGCCTGGCATCATAACTACAAAGAAAAAATCTAACTGTAGCTGACTGATAAGTGGCAATTAGGAGTGTGAGTAGGTCCATGAGATTGTCCAACATAGGAGATCTCTTAGAATTGCTCTAAGCATCTGTGAAAATTAATGCTGCTTGTGTTTCATTTGAGAAACTGAAAGAGGATGGATGAATGGAATAGCAACTCAGCAGTTGGTTGTGATTCATTTATAATGATTGTTTTGTGAATTCAGCAGTATTTCCTTCTCTGAAGACTGGGTGGTTACACTGCAATTATTTAATATGCTTTCAGAAGTTACACAATTATGAAAGGAGAGACTTTGGTCAATAATACTATACCTGGGATGGGAACTGAGAGCAGAGGGAAAAGAAGTATGGTTTGGAGGAATGAGTACATGTTAAGGAGAGGGAGGACAAAGTGAACTATAAGCCAAGAGTGATTTGGACAAAGGGAGACAATGGTATTTATTTCACTGGTAGCCTGATAAACTGGGAAGCAACTTCTTTTGTATGTAAATATTATGCTTAACTATTTTTATTCAAAAACCAAAAATATCAAAACTCAATTTTCATATGAACAGGTTTAACATCTGAAACTACAAGAAGACAAGAAAAACTGTTCTACAAGATGTGGATTATAATTTGATTTACATATGTTGAAGTTTATAATGTTTCCCAACAAGGCTGCAGTAATGAATTAGTTTTATCTTTCCTAAATTTCAATTTTTTTTGCAATTTATTTAGTTAGGAAATGACAATTGGTGCAATATGTAAACTTATTTGCTGAATTATTTTAAGTGAACATAGTGTCTTTTTTTTGTTTTGTTTTGTTTTATGAGACTGGGTTTCTCTGTATTGTTTTGGAGGCTGTCGCTCCAGCCTGGCCTCGAACTCACAGAGATCTGCCTGCCTCTGCCTCCCAAGTGCTGGGATTAAAGGCGTGTACCACCACCGCCCGGCTGTGAACATAGTGTCTCTAAGAATAATTTTACACTTGAGTCTAGAGGTATCATCTTGGTATTTTTTTATATTTTATTCTGTCTTTTAATTTGGAGAGATGTGTCAATCAATGGCCAATAACTTGTTGCTCTTGCAGAAGACTCAGGCTTGATTCCTACCACCAACATTGAGGTTCATATGCAACCATAACTTCAGTTCCAGGGGATATTATGCCTTCTAATATCTATAGGCAGCAAGCATACACATGATTCATTGTATATACATACAGGCAAAATATTCACACCTAAAAACTAAAATAAATAAATATAATATGAAGAAAGACAAACAGTGGTGATGCATGACTTGTCTTTAGTCCCAGCACTCAGGAGGCAGAGGCAGGCAGATATATCTGAGTTCAAGGACATCATGGATTACAGAGAAAGTTCTAAGTCAGTCAGTGCTACACAGAGAAATCCTGTCTTGAAGAACTCAAGCAGTGAACAAAACAAAAAAGAATAATTTGATATTTACCATTTAACCTACCTTGATTTCTTTTAATTTACTTTCTTTTTACTAGTTATAATTAAACTAAATGAAGTATGTTAACTGTATAAATCAAAAGATATAGAGTGACTGAAAAGGAACCATTTATGTCCCATCTATAAAAGTCTAACTTTAGATTGAACCGCATATGAGGATGAGATGGAAACAGATATTTCATAAAGAAGGAAGCCTAAGTAAACAGGAAGGATGATACTTTTATGAGACAGTACAAAATTTAAAAAAATTGTCACTGGTGTCAAAATTCATTACCAATTAAAAAGGTAACAAAAGGAACTAAGTACAATAAGTAGCAAATACTTTGCTATTGTCTTCAGAGCATCTCAATATAAAAGCAAACTGACAAATTTTAAATCAATGCCACAAAAGAGGCAGCAAAGATTTGAATACTTAGCTTTCAATAATGAACCATAAGTCACAATGAAAATCAGTTTTTGAAACTTGTAGGTGTGAACACCATGGAACAAGAAGACAATGTAAATATGGAAAGTTTACCTCAAGAATATCAGGATAAGTGTACACTAAATATTTGCCAACAATATGATTCATCAGTTCATTAGCAGCTGTGAAGATTCTGTCTTCCATTTCCAGCAGTGTGGACTGTCCTGTAGAATATTATGCTGAGTCAAACAAGTCCTGTGCAACACATGCTGAGCCAAAATAAATTTTAGCATGTTAAGATAGGGCCAAGCAACCTCAAATTCATTTTACAATTCTAAGGTGAACTAGAAATCAATGATTAAAGGTAAAAAACCTCATTATATAAAATTTAAAAATAGATTAGAAAAGAAATCAAATACAACTTACAAAATATATCAGGTAGAACAGGTACAATATGACAATTATTGTAGCAAGCACGTTCGCCAGTAAAGGATAATTAAAAACAATAAACATATATAATTAAGTTATATTAAGATGAAAATAGTAAAATTTTTAACTGAAAGCATTTTATATCAAGTAGCCAAAAAGCAAAAACAAAAATTAAGCCTCAAATTAACAACATATGAAGTAAATATTAGAGCAGAAACACAAACATGGAGTTTTGACAAAATTGTAAAATAAACTAATGTAAAATATGTGAAAAAGGTATGTCATATAAATAAAATTATATGAGACAAGGTATTAAATTGATTTCCCAGCAAGCAATGCTGCATGAAGAGCAAAATTTGCTATTCCCCATGATGAGCCTCCTAACTAGTTACCCAGTACAATGTGGTCAGCCCTGAAAACATATATACATAAATAAACCAAATGGATTCAGAAAGTTGTATTTATATCTTTGTGTATACATATATTTGTAACAACAATAATCAAAAGAAAAAATGACATCTACTTGAGAGTAGGAGGACATGATAGGTGTGGAAGGGGGACATTTAAAGGATTGGATGTACAAAAGGGAAAAGGGGAATGATAAAATAATACTTTAATTAAAATGTATTGAAAGAATAAACAAAAATGTTACTGTGAAAACAAAAGGAGCTAGTATTAAAAGGTACATGCTAACAATACAAAAGATAGAATTTATATGGACTTAGCTCTTTTAAAAAGTAGGAAATCTGATTACAGCAGTGAAAATAAGGACACTGAGTTAGTATTTTAATGTTTCCTCTCAAAAGAATATTCTAGCACAAGATGCTTTCATGGATAAATTTAATAAAAATGAAGGAAATTTTACAACTAAAATTGTAAAGACTTATAAAGCAAATTTAATAAAATTATCATCACCTACATACTAACGCAAGAAAAAGTCACCATTATGAAATAAGTAGGTTAATAGCACCAATGAATTTAAAAATACCGAACAAATAACAGAACTTATACTTTAATGCATTGAATCTATCAAATTTCTTGATTAAATATAAGTTTTCTTTGCATTGGAGAAAATTTCCACCTAAGAAATCTGTCAGTGATTTTAGCAGATTAAACAATAAATACTAATTGCACTTAATGTCAATAAACCAAAGAAAATGTTTATATGATTCAATAAAATTCTTGTATACAATTATCAATAGGTGTATAGAAGAAAATGATTTTCAGAGTTGAAATAAATTCATTTCTGAAAGTTTGACATTCATGGGAGTTCTTTCCTGATCAAACAGACAGAATAAAAAAGTAAAATGAAGGGACCTGCAATGTTTCAATATGCTCTTGTGTGTTTTTTTGTTTT